AAAAGCTTGTAGTTAGTTCAAGGATTGTTTGTTGGCCTTTAGGAGTGTTTTACAGTCCTGTGTGTTGGGACACCATGCCCTGGGCCCAAAGTCTACCTTCAGCATTCCCTGGGCTCCATTCCCTTGCTGTTCTGTTGTACCCCCTTGGTGTTTTGCCTCCGTGTGGCTGGATCAGATCAGCTGCAATCCCCACACTGTGTCTCCTGTGTTGTCCCCTATAGGGCTATGGATCAGTGAGGGGCCTCATGTCACATAGTGGGACCAGCCATGTGGTCCTCTCTGTGGACTGGCTGCTCTAATTGGGAACATCGTCCTCAAGGCCTGGTGGGCCAGGATGTGCTCCACTCTCTCCTCCTCCCCCTTCATCCTCTCGCGTGTGCTCCGATCAGATATGTCCCTCTCCCGGGGTTGCAGAATCTTCTATTATTTTTACAGGTTGTTTATTTCTCTCTTCAATTCTGTAAGAGTGTGTTTAAGATTTTTTCATTTGGAGATTTTCTTCATTGGGTGCACATGCATATATGAATGTATATATGTATTTATATTCATGGTTATGTCCCCCATTTCAGCTGACCCTTTAATCATTATATAATTATTATAATTATGTAACCCTTATTGTATCTTAAGGATTATGCCTTAAAGCTTTTTTTAAATTGGAAATTAATGTTATCACTCCTGTTTTTTGATTGCCAATAACTTGGTATTTCCCCCCAACTATGACTTTCACTGTTTTTTGTATTTGCATGTAAGATGTATCTCTTATAGGCAGCATATCTTATCTGTTCGCTACTCTTTTGTCTCTTCGCTGGCGCATCTAGTCCACTTACATTGTTTGCAGTTGGTAAGCTTGGATTTATTGTTGTCAATATACTGTGTTTTTTGTGTTTGTGTTGTTGTGAGGATGGTGGGTTTTTTTTTCCCCCACAGAATTTTCTGTGCCGAGTTCATTTTGTTTATAGGCTTGTTTGGGGGTTTTTTTTGGTCATTTTCACTGCTGCTGTTTTATGCTTTTAAGAATTTTCATGATTTTCCTTTTTTTCATTTTCACAAGGTTCTAAATGTTTCTTTGGCTTACTGTGTATTTCATTGATTTCTTTTCAAGTTTGAAACAATCTTCCTTGAATTCAGTTTGACTTCTCCATTTGAAAGTTCTGTAACTACTGTATTTCCTCCTTCCTTTGTAATTTTCTTAGTTATAAATCTATTTCTCTAGTCCTCTTTTCAGTTGTGAACTTTTTTTTTTAACTTTGGAAACTTCTAACTCTGCTGGGTAAGCATTGGACCTTTAACCACAAAGTTCCCAGGCAGATTCACCACCTGCTTACTGAGAGAAAGGTGAGGCTAAACTGTTAAACTAAAAAGGAAACAAAATGTCGTCTCTTGGCGGGTATGATAGAGAATGTGAGTTTGTGCAGTTCTCTGTTTGATGTTTGTTACTTAACACATTTTAAAAGCAGCTCTGCGTGTGGTTTCCATTTTCTATGATCTGGTGGTGCCGCTCGGGGTGGCTGTCCTCCACCAGTGGTTGTGGCTTCATGGGGTATGGATGAGGCTGGGCCAGGTGGGCAAGGTTGCTCTCTCTGTTGGGGGGGACAATCAAAATAAACACATAAAACTCAGAGATAAAAATAAGCAGCAGCCCCAAATATTATAAAAGTATAAAAAATAAACAAAAGCAAGCAAGGTAAACAACAGGAGAAAGGAATTTAATAACTCAAAGATGAAAGAACAAAGGAAAGTGAAAACAAGGGTAGGATAAAGTGAAAAAAATGTGACAGGGAAAACTAGAGTGGGGTGGAGAAGAAAAGAAAAAGAAGAGATGAGAAATAGAAGACAAGAACAAAAAGGAAAGCGAAGAAAGGAAACAGCAAGGAAGGAAAGCAGAAAACAAAAGAAAAGGAGTCTGCGGGGCTGGGGCAGAGCACCCAGTATTTGTTGGCACCCTTTGCCATCTGTGGAGCTCATGAAGTAAGGAGGGAGGGAGTCTGGAACACCGGTCCTTAATGGGGTCTTGCCAGCCTTTGTATTTTGTGGGGTCAGGGTACTTGGTCCGGAAGTAGTGAACCCATATGGTGGTTGAGGCCAAGGTACCTGTTCCCAGGTGGAATTCTTTCAGGCCCAGGGAAGGAGTCCCTGCTTATCCGAGTGAGTAGCCATGGATTCAACACTGCTTGTTCTGCTGGTCGGATGAGGTGGTTCACCACCTCCAAACACACTCCGACCTCAGATACAAGGGTGGGAGGACCACCACTCTTGGAGAGAATGAGGATGGCAGGGGTCACCAGGAGGGTATGGGGAACAAGAAGGCTCCCCCCTTTCTTATTGCTGTTTACTGGTGTGCCAGGTGGTTGCCTGGGCGGAATACTGTCTACAAAGGTTCAAGATGACTTTGTATCAGGCTAGGTGACCATTCGCCCATCTCTTCTCTGGTGCTTCTGTTCTGCTGCTGCTTCATTTGGCTTCCATCCATTGATCTGTCCTTTCTCCAAAGCTCAGAGGTCCTTTGGTAGGTCTCTGATGTCTTTGTTGTAGAAGGTCTATGTGGTGTGTCGTCCGAGTTCATCTTGCTGGTCGTTTCCCCTAAAACTTTTTAAACTGAAAATTGAATCTAAAAAAAAAAAAAAAGAAAGAAAGAAAATTGAATCTAACAGATTTAAATAATGATCTGGCTTCCATTTTCTACAGATTGATCCTGAATTGGAAAAAAAACTGAAAATGAATAAAGTGTCATTGGAGTCAGAGTATGAGGTATGGTATGCTAATATTGTTCCTTTTTATAATCTTTCTAGTCAATGACTGGATCTTTCTGTCTGGAATAAGTCATTACTGCTACTGAGAAAGGCATGTATCATGAATACATGCCCCAGCAAATGGGACAACCAAATCGTTGCTTGAAAGAGAGATGAACCTGAGCTCTGTATACTACTAATGAATCCATTCTAAATTAACTAAAAATTTTAAATAAAATGTGAAATGTGCCAGGAGACAGAAATGGAGAATTGTTTGCATATGTTAGGAAATTCTATTTAAATACGCTACAAAACCCAAAGGCCGTAAAATTAAATATTTGTAAGCTCACACATTAAAATCTAAAACTCCATTCTGGAAAAAATTCTGGGTATAAAGCCATGAAATAAATGAGAAACCATAAAATATGTTTTATCTTATCATGGTGAATTAATTCATTGAAAGATAACAGATACAAAACAATAGGAAGAAGTTCAGCAATGCAGTTGGAAGAGCATCAGCAAAGCATGCATGCCTATGACTCGGTAAGGGAAATATACACATAATTCTTGAACCGCAACTTTATTGTATTAGAAGTGTTAGTCAAAATTACCCGGTACCATTTTGTGCCCATTTTATCAGCAAAACGAAAAAAGTTTAATAATATATTATTTGGTGTAGTGAGAAAAGCTGATGTTCTCCATTTCTGCTGGTTTCATCATTTGGGGGGAGGTTAACTTGCAAGTTTTTCTAGTTACGGATCATTGCAAATGACTTCAGACACCAACCAGCAAATGTCAGACCAAACTCCACAGGTTTAGGGCATAATCTTCCACAAGCCTCTCCTGCTACCCACAGTTAGCACCACAATCGGTTTTAGAACGTTTTATTCTTTCTTGTACTTGTTATTAGCTCCTAATTTCCCCCCAATCTCCCTTGCCATACCCCCAAGAATCCATTAATTCATTTACTCTCTCTATAGACTTACCTTTAAACCAAAAGGGATCCCAGAAGATACGCAATGCAATAATAGAATGAGGAACATAGTAAACGACCCGAGGAAGGAATGGAAGAAGAGGAAAATCAAATCTGTGAGCTTGAAGACAGTCACTCTTGACAACGGTGGGAGAAACACCGTCCTCCCCAAAGTGAAGGAGCCAGAAAGCCTGAGAATGATGTGGGACTGTCAAGAGAAATGCCCTGTGTAGTTACATAATCTGTTGTCAGTTTGAGACTTAAGAGCGAAGGAGTGGAGTTTACCCTGTCAATCAGGTCGCAGCTTGATGATCTTATTTGGAGGCATGAAGGAGATAAATAGCTTGCTGGAGGTGAGACACTCACACACTCCCTGGGAGACATTCCATGCTGACATATGGAGCTACACTAGTGCCCTGGAGCTGGAGGAGCCACATAGAGACCCCTGCCAGTGCTGAGATGCTTATACCATCACTGGATCCACAAGACCTTCCACCCACTGGCCTGTGATTTTCCTGCATTCAACATCATTGCCTGTGTTTCATGAGCTGGAGAGAAATGTATAGATTGGTATTGGACATATGGGCTAATATTGGATTTACAGACTTGATCTGGACTGAGATGGGATATTTTCTCAATATACAATTGCTCTTGTTTATCAAGTTCTTTCTTATGCACATATAAAATAGGGCTTTGAGGATATGCCCTCTGAATTTTGAGAACATCTCAAGAACAGATTTGACACAATGAACACTAATGACAGAAGGCCTGATGAGCTGTGAGGGGACATCATTAAAAAGACAAGAAATAAAAGTTCAAAGTGGATGTCAGAAGTGACCCTGAAACTGGCATTTTCCATAGAGTAGCTAAAGCAAATGGAAGAAATGATGAAGTCAAAAAGCTGAATGGGAAGTTTCAAAAGGCAGCTTCATAAGGCAAAGACATACAATAAAATGTGCAAAGACCTATAATTAGATAACAAAAAGGAAAAAACACACTCAGCATATCTTACTGAAAGAACTCATGAACAAAGTTCAAGCCTGAAAGATTATGTGGACAAATATTGAATGGTGACAAAAATATCAAAAGAAGATTGAAAGAATGCAGTGTTCCTGTACCAAAAAGAACTAGTCAACAATCCACCATTTGAGGAGGTAGCATACAAGCAAGAACCAATGGTGCTGATGGAAGAAGTTCAAACAAGTCACACTGAAGGCATCAGCCAAAAAGAAGACTCCAGGAATTGATGGAATATCAATGGAAATATTTCAACACGATGCACCACTAGAAGCACTTTTTCATCTAGGCCAGGGCATTTGGAAGACCGCTACTTGGCCACCCAACTGGAAGTGATTCATATTTGTACCCATTCCAAAGAAAGATGACCCAACAGAATACTCAAACTATAGAACAATGTCATTGATATCACATGCCAGTAAAATTTTGCTGAGGATCATCCAGTGGTTGCAGCAGTACATCAACAGAGAGTTGCCAGAGGTTCCAGGCGGAGTCAGAAGAGGCTGTGGAACACAGGATAATCATTTCTGATGTCAGATGTATCTTGGCTCAAAGAGAATACCAGAAAGATGCTTTCTTGACTATGCAAATGAATTCAACTGTGTGGATTATAAAAAAAAATGTGGATAACCTTGGGAAGTACAGGAATTCCAGAACACTTCATTGTACCAATGGGGAAATTGTGCATGGACCAAGAGAAGATGTGCACACAAAACAAGGGAATACTGCAGGGTTTAAACTCAGGAAAAGTGTACGTCAGGCTTGTATCCTCTCACCACACATGTTCAATCTGTATGCTGAACAAATAATAGGACAACTGGTTTACATGAAGAATGTGGCATCAGGATTGGAAGCAGAATTATTACAACCTGAGATATGTAAGTGACACAACCTTGTTTGTTGGAAGTGAGGAGGACTTGAAGTACTTGCTGATGAAGATCAAGGATTGCAGCCTTTAGTATTGATCAAGATTCAATGTAAAAAAGAACGCAGTCCTCAATACTGGACCAATTGATAACATGATAAGCTGGGAAAAGGTTGAAGTTGTCAAGGATTTTGTCTTGCTTGAATCTACAATGAATGCTCATAGAAGCAGCAGTTAAGAGATCCAAAGACATGTAGTATTTGGTACATCTGCTGCACAAGACGTCCTTAAAGAGTTTTGAAAAGCAAAAATGTTACTTTGAGGACTAGGGTGTGCCTGATCCCAGCCAGGGTATTTTCCATTGCCTCATGCATGTGAAAGTTGGACATTAAATATGGAAGACTGAAGAATTGATGCATCTGAATTGTATTGAAGAATTTCAAAAGTATCATGGAATGCTAAAAGGACAAACTGGTCTGTCTTGGAAGAAGTATGGCCAGAGTGTACCTTAGAGGCAAAAATGGCTAAACTTTGCCATACATCCTTTGGATTTGTCAGGAGAAACAATTCCCTGGAGAAGGACATTTTGTTTGATAAAGTTGAGGGGCAGTGAAAAAAAGGATGGCCCTTAAGTCGATGGATTGACAGTGTGGCTGCAACAATAGGCCCAGTTATAAGAGCAATTTTTAAGATGGTACAAAGCCATGCAGTGTATGGGATCTATTGTGCATAGGATCATGATGGGTTGTAACTGACTCAATGCCACAAAACAACAAAACATCCCAAATTTATTCAGATGGTTTTATAAAACCGGAAGAGAACCACAACAAATGAAGAAATAGAAAAGGTCATGAAGAAACTTCCAACCAAGAAAAGCCCAGCACCAGATGGCTTCTGATGGAAATTCTATCAAGTATTCAGGGAAGAGTTGGCACCAATTCTTCCTGACTCTTCCATGATACAATAAGGGACAACAAACTCTGAAACTCGTGTGAAGTGAACATGAACTTAAAACCCAAACCAGGTAAAGACCGCATAGACACAAAACTACAGACCAATATCCTTCATGAGCTTGGGTGGAAAATCTTCAACCAAATCCTGGCCTATGGAATCCAAAACATATATAAAAAAACAAAAATCATCGCCAATTGGGGTTCATACCTGGGGTGCAAGGATGGTTCAACATTCAAAAAACAATCCATGTAATCCACCTTATAAACAAGACAAAGAATAAGAACCAAATGATCATATCAATAGAAGCAGAATTAGCCTTTGGCAATATCCAACACCCATTTCTAATACAAACACTGCATTAAATAGGTATAGAAGGTACATTCCGCATCCTACTAAGGACCATATAGATACATCCAATGACCAGTATCAGACTCAGTGGGGGAAAGCTGAAAACATTTCCCCTAAAATTGAGAACCACACAAGGATCATACATCACCACCCATATTAAACATCGTGTGTGAAGTCTTAGCCAGAATGATTAAACAACAAAAAGAAATGAAGGGAATATAATTGGCCAAAGAAGAAGTGAATCTCTGGCTACTTACAAGTATTTTATAGAGAGAGAACTCCCAAGGGCTCCACATAAAGACTTCTGGAAACAGTTGAGGGGCTTGATAAAGTAGCAGTATACAAGATTTGCAAACAAATCAGTCGGAGAAGAGCGCTCCAAAAAAGATACCAAGAAAACAATATTATTTACAGTAGGTATATAAGAGGTGAAATACCTGGGAATATACTTAGCCAAAGTTAAGACCTGTACAAAGAAAACTGCAGAAATTATTACAACAAACCAAAGAACCCTACGTAGAGACCATTGTATTCATGGGTAGGAAGACAATGTCATGAAAAGGTCAGCACCACCTCACTCACTGCTATGAAGCTGAGTCCAATTTCCCCAGCATCCGGACAAGGCAGAATGCACTTGGAACTCTTTATGGAAGTCCAAAGCCTTATCTTTGTCCCACTGCTCGGCTGGTGATTTTGAACTGCTGGTCTTGCAGGTAGCAGTCTGATGTGACACTTCTCCCCCACCAGGGATCCTTACCTAAGGCAACCTACAAAATATAACAGGATTCTGATCCAAACCCCAACTTCCTTCTTCAAAGAAATGGAAAAACTAATTACTAACATTATATGGAGGGGGAAGAGG